ACACGCAAATTATGCAGTCTCTTTAACAATAATCCTAGATAAAAGGGGTAAAGACTCGAGAAAGCATGTTTAGCACTCTGAGGTACGAAGGTTGTGCCTGTTTTCACTGTGTGAAAATGAAGTGTTATCGTACTCTACAGTTTATAAACGAAGAAATCTTTATTACAGAATAAACTCGAAGAAAATATATACAGCAGGCGACGTTCGCTTCTCGCATTGATAAGACAGAAGAAGAAGTTTAACAAAGAAGGGTAACAAAATGAACGCGACGATATTGCATCGTCTTGGATTTTCTTTGAATTCCCCCTCTGGCTGAATTTAACGTGTTCAACATGACGAAACGCGTGTCGTAATACTTTAGAATGCAAGAACCGTGTAACTGCGAAGAAAATGAATTTATTCTGGCGGAGGAATCTCACTTAGCTTTCGTTTAGTCTTATAAAAGTTCCATTTGGAAACTGGTGCAAGCGAAATACTCCTTAAAGGGGTAGTTCGTTTTGAATTGTCTAGAAATAGATAGAGTTCTGCGAATTTCTTACATTGGTAATTGATAATTACCATATGACTACATTCCAACGTTTTATCTTCGTGAAAAATTATCGACATTTTGAAATTGTTAATTTGATTTATCACGGTATTGGAGGCTGACATTTTCTCTTTATGAGAAAACTTTCCTTAAAGCTGTGGGATTATTTCCACTAATCGTAAAATGCTCTTTTGGTTAAAATATCGTTTATTTTGTACTTACATTGTATTATACTGTCACGATAATTCTTGATAATGTTAGAAGTATCGGATAAATATTTATTCATTTAAATTATCTAAATGTATAACTAAATTGTTCAATTTAATTATACATAATATACATATATGTATGTATATTCCTAACAGAATTTAAATAATAAATATCATATTACACATTACTTTTAAGTGACAGTATACTTCAAAAAAATTTTAACGTTTCATTTAGTAATTACGTGTGGAAAAAAACTTCAAAACTTTAGCTATTTTTCGACGATTGGATGTGATCTGCCCCCCTTAAGAATTTCTCTGCTTGTTACAACAGTATATAAAATATTACTTTCCTGGGTAATTCAGTGAATATCGACATAATCATTTATATATTTTTTCAGCCAGTTCTCTCGACTCGCATGTCATTCCTTCTTTTTTTTTTTTTTTTTTTTTTTCACGCGTTCACAGGAATTGTTAAATATCTCCCTTCTCTCTTTGCACGCAATTTAAAATTCACAGACGCGGATAACGTTACATTGTAACATGTTCAATGTTCGCCTAGCTACGTTTAACTAAAATTACGCATCGAATCACAGTTCACGTTTTGTGGCCATCCTTACATAGAAATTCCTTCTAACGAGTGGAAAGTTTCTCCTTCGCTTTCGCATCGATCGACCAACGAAGTTCAGCCAAACGTTGCACAGTTTCTCGTTCAAATTAATAATGAAATGCGAATAATTAGTCAGTACAGTTAATTGCATAATTCAAATGCTGATTCGATAAAGGCACGATGCACGCGCGTGTAAGTATTTAAAAAAAAAAAAAAAGGGGGAAATAATCTTAACGAAAAAGTCTAGATAATATTGCATGGTATAGTTTAACAATAGAACTACCCGAGTGGTGAAAGTGGTGACTAACTATTATTTCTACATAATTTTCACATACGTAGCAATTTTATACATTTTAAGATTATTAGAAGCTTTTTCCTATTCCTTGCACTTTCATTTCTCCGAGTTTCGCGGGTTTCACGTTTCAATTGTCGGTAGTTCTAGTGTTAAAAGTATTTCGAAGGTTCCAATATTTATAATAATAATTAAAGTCGCGTGATAGTAACAGAACGTTAGAGAAATTAATTTAATCCTTTGAGTGCTTAGTAAAATGATCAAAAATTTAAAAGTTCAGTGTCGCGCGAAAAACATGTAGTTAACTAATTAAAAATATGTTTAAACATATAATATTATGTACCACTTGGTACATAATATTTATTCAATGTACATACTGCGGATTTTTATGCATTTGTGGGAAAATGGAAGGTACAGAGATACACACAATACATATCACGTACAAAAATATTTAAAATATTCAAAGTAAGATTCATATTTACTATAATATTTCTATTCATGGTTCTATTTCTTCATAGTGCATAAAAATTCGCAATAATATCTATAATAATCCTTTCTGAATTTCCAAGTAAACTAATAAGCTAGACACTCAAAGGTTTAAAAATTAAACAAATATCCTGAGGTTCTAAAAAAATTAGGGAAATAGACTTGTCACAATTATCTGAATGCCCCATACATTTCACCACTTTCGTATAAAGAAGACAAAAAGAAAAAAAAAGATAGAAAAAAAGAAGTGCAGTCGAATTTTCGAATATTGTGGGCATTGTAACTGTGAATACAAACGAGCAAATCTGATCATTTGACGTTCCTGACGAAGCAATAA